GGATTCGTATGCACGCTTTGAGGATCCATAGGATGGGGAACAGCTTGCAGAAAGCCTGATTTGTCAGATTCTGGAAGAGTGAGAAAGATTTTTTTTTAAATATGTATATATTTTTTATTTGAAAGGCAGAGTTAGAGAGGCAGCGACAAAGATATCTTCCATTTGTGGTTCATTCTCCAAAGGACCACAATGGCCAGAGCTGGGCCCTTCTGAAGCAGGAGCCAGGAGCTTCTTCCAGGCCTCCCACGCAGGTGCAGGGGCCCAAGGACTTGGGCCATTTTCCACTGCTTTCCCAGGCCATAGAAGAGAGCTGGATTGGAAGTGGAGCAGCCGGGACTAGAACTGGCACCCATATGGGATGCCAGTGCTTCAGGCCAGGGCTTTTAACTAGTGTGCCACAGTGCCGGCCTGAAGCTTCTTTTTGGTGCACTTCTTTCTCAGGTATTTGGCCTCCAGCTTTGGAGCAGAGGTTGAGCGCAGAAGGGGGGGGGGCAGGGCCATCAGCATCAGGGACCAGTGCCTCAGCCCTGCGATGGAATGTTCTAGTACCTTCTAGAGTCAGTCAGCTGGGAGCCCTGGGGCTCATCGCCGATTATGCTGCCAGTCAAGGGAAGACCCTGGGAGGCTCTGAGCAGAGGAAGCGGATTTGTTCATGCAGCGATGGCTCCGGCAGCTGTGAGGAGAGGGAGTAGAAGCAGGCGACAGGTATGCTGGGGTGGTCCCAGGATAGAGGGGAATGCTCTGACTGGCTGATGGAGTAGATGATATGGGGTGTGAAAGAAAGGGTCCCAGGTTTTTGGCCTGAGCCAGCGGGTGGTCCGTAGTGGATTTAAACAACCTGAGAAGCAGAGGGGGAGAGAGGAATGGGTTTTGTGGGGGAAAGTACTATTTTTCCCCCTCTTACTTATGTACTTCATGAAGAAAATCTCTTTTAAAAATATTTATTTGAAGGACAGAGTTACACAGAGGCAGAGAAAGATCTTCCATCTTCTGGTTCACACCCCAAGTGGCTGAAACAACCAGAACTACGCCAGTCTGAAGCCAGGAGCCAGGAGCTTCCTCTGGGTCTCCTCCATGGGTGCAGGGCCCAAGCACTCAGGCCATTTTCCACTGCTTTCCAGGCACATTAGCAGGGAGCTGGATTGGAAGTGGAGCAACCAGGACTCGAACCTGCGCGCCCTTATGGGATGCGGGCACTGCAGGCGGCAGCTCTACCCACTTCACCACAGCGCCGGCCCCTAGTGTTGATTTTTTTTTTTTTTAAGATTTATTTATTTGAAAGTTACGGAGAGGGAAAGGGAGAGAGTGTGTCTTCCATCCGCTGGTTCACTCCCCAGTTGGCCACTATGGCCAGAGCCACACAGATCCAGGCCAGGAGCTTCTAACAGCCTCTACGCCTCTGACCTGTTCCACTTGTTTGGCAGTGACTCATGTACAGAATCCCACGTGACTCCTATTTGCTTGCAGAGGGAGATGGAATTGAGTGGTTACTACAGGATTTAAATCTGAAACTTTTACCTCTTGGATACTTGAGGCTACTCACTTAAAAGTAAGGCTTTAAAGACACAAATCTGGGCGCTGGCATTGTGGCATAGCAGGTTAAGCAGCTGCCTGCAGTGCTGACATCCCATAGGGGCACTGGTTCATGTCTGAACTGCTCCACTTCCAACCCAGCTCCCTGCTAATAGCCCTGGAAGGCAGCAGAAGACGGCCCAAGTCCTTGGGCCCTGTACCCACGTGGAAGACCCAAAAGAGGCTCCTGGCTCATGGTTTCATCCTGGGCCAGCCCTGGCTGTTGCAGCCGTTTGAGGAGTGAACCAGCAGGTGGAAAATCTTTCTCTCTTCCTCTCTTTCTCTCCCTCTGTGTAATTCTATCTTTCAAATATTTTTTCTTAAGAAACACATCTGCTTTTTTTGATACAGTGGTAAAGTTGTACTTCCGTGTGCACTTGAATGAGAGAACAGCCGTATGGGTAAAATCTCAGTCTGAAGAATCAAACATTTTCTTGCAGTGTTATGTGGCTTAGTTTCTTGATATGTATCATATTCTTCTGTAGGATTTAAAGTGCTAAGTCAAAAATGAAATCAGTATAGCTTTTGGGATTGACTCGTTTATTTAACAGTAGTACTTCCACGAGTTCTATATGTATAGTGCAATTACTAGTATAATGATAACAGTTACGTTTACTGAGTGATTTTCTGCCTAGTGCTTGTACTATATTAAGCACTTTGCACACAGTTCACACACTGTACCTTGCTCCCTCCGACCCCAGCACACATACACCCTAGAATCAAAACAACACTTGTGAGGAATTTATGCTTTATGGAGCCGATGCTGTGGCATAGCAGGTTAAGCCACTGCCTGTGATGCCAGTATCCCATGTAGGCACCAGTTCAAGTCCTGGCTTCTCCACTTCCCATCCAGCTCCCTGCTAATGTGCCTAGGAAAAGCAGCAGAGGATGGCCTAAGTGCTTGGGCCCCTGCACCCACATGGGAGACCTGGTTGAAGCTCTTGCTCCTGGCTTCCGCCTGGCCAGTCACTGGCCATTGTGGTCATCTGGGGAGTGACCCAGCCAATAGAAAACATCTTTCTCCCTCTCTCTGACTTTCAAATAAATTAAAAAAATTATGCTTTGTAAGGGATGAGATTTTCATCCATTTTTGTCTTTTTTATATCCATTGATTAGAATAATGCACACCTAATGATACATATCAAGTGAATGTGTTTTGAATGAGTGATTTATTTTTAATTATTTAAGGCAGCAGCCCCATAAGGTGGCTATTGGTGGGTGCTGTGCTGTTGGCCGTTCACAGTGTCTGGGAAGACGTGTACAGTGCTGAGGGGGGTGATCTTCAGTTCCTCCCGCCTGCCTGGTGGACCTGGGATTCACGTGTGAAAGGTTAAACAGATGGAGTAGACAATGACGGATGTGATCAGGGCTGGAAGGATGCTGAGTAATGGGGAGAGATGTGGGTGGGTATAAAACCTAGGGCTGTGTCTGTACAGAGCGAATGCTTGGTGTTGCTCCTACTGCTGCTGTAACATCGTTGCCCTTTTTTTTTTCTTTTAATGGCATCAGACTCAGGATTTAGGATTTACCTAGTTTTTTTTTTTTTTTTTTTTAAGATTTATTTATTTTTCTTGAAAGTCCGAGTTACACAGAGAGAGAAGGAGAAGCAGAGAGAAAGGTCTTCCATCCAATGGTTCACTCCCCAATTGGCTGCAATGCCTGGAGCCGTGCTGATCCGAAGCCAGGAGCCAGGAGCTTCTTCTGGATCTCCCATGTTGGCTGCAGGGGCCCAAGGACTTGGGCCATCTTCTACTGCTATCCCAGGCCATAGCAGAGAGCTGGATCAGAAGTGGAGCAACCAGGACTCGAACTGGCACCCATATGGGATGCCGGCACTGTAGGTGGCGGCTTCACCCGCTACACCACAGCACTGGCCCCTTACTTACCTAGGTTTTTGAAACCTGTAGTTCTACTTTTTCTTTAATTTTCTTTCTTTCTTTCTTTCTTTCTTTCTTTCTTTCTTTCTTTCTTTCTTTTCTTTCTTTTCTTTCTTTTCTTTCTTTTCTTTCTTTTCTTTCTTTTCTTTCTTTTCTTTCTTTTCTTTCTTTTCTTTCTTTTCTTTCTTTTCTTTCTTTTCTTTCTTTTCTTTCTTTTCTTTCTTTTCTTTCTTTTCTTTCTTTTCTTTCTTTTCTTTCTTTTCTTTCTTTTCTTTCTTTTCTTTCTTTTCTTTTCTTTCTTTCTTTTCTTTTCTTTCTTTTCTTTCTTTTCTTTCTTTTCTTTCTTTTCTTTCTTTTCTTTCTTTTCTTTCTTTTCTTTCTTTTCTTTCTTTTCTTTCTTTTCTTTCTTTTCTTTCTTTTCTTTCTTTTCTTTCTTTTCTTTCTTTTCTTTCTTTCTTTTCTTTCTTTCTTTTCTTTCTTTCTTTTCTTTCTTTCACAGGCAGAGTTGTTAGAGTCAGAGTCAGAGTTACAGTCAGAGTTACAGTTAGAGTGAGAAAGGTCTTCCTTCCGTTGGTTCACCCCCCAAATGGCCGCCACGGCCAGCACGGTGCACAGATCTGAAGCCAGGAGCCAAGTGCTTCCTCCTGGCCTCCCACGCGGGTGCAAGTGCCCAAGCACTTGGGCCATCCTCCACTGCACTCCCAGGCCACAGCAGAGAGCTGGACTGGAAGAGGAGCAACCGGGACTAGAACCTGGCGCCCATATGGGATGCCGGCGCCGCAGGTGGAGGATTAACCAAGTGAGCCACGGCACCGGCCCAAGATTTATTTATTTATTTGAAAGAATTACACAGAGAAGGAGAGGCAGAGAGAGAGGTCTTCCATCTGCCTGTTCACTCCTGAGTTGGCCACAACAGCTGGAGCTGTACCGATCCAAAGCCAGGAGCTTCTTCTGGGTCTCCCATGCTGGTGGAGGGGCCCAAGGACCTGGGCCATCTTCTACTGCTTTCCTAGGCCATAGCAGAGAGCTGGACGGGAAGTGGAGCAGCCAGGACTTGAACTGGCACCCATATGGGATGCTGGCACCGCAGGTGGCGGCCTTACCCACTACGCCACAGCGCCAATCCCAACAGATATTTCTACCTTTGGTGTATGAAAAAAATGTGTCTTAAATATGAAAGTGACACACTACCTACTGCACTAACGAGGCACCTACTTTGTCTTAAATAAAAAGGCCATTTAAGAACTCCTTTCCTAATAATGTCTGTGTGGTTATGCCTCTGGTACCTCTTGGAGGATTAGTGTGAGTGTTAGGTTCTCCCATCATCTCTCTGGCAAGCTGTAATTCCTTGGACCAGACTTGTACCTTGTTCATTCCTGTATCTCTCAACAGCACTGGAACACAGTTCCTGGCATAAACCAAGGATGCCGTAAATCGTGGTCAGGTTGAATTTTCAGAGCATGTGAGGCTGGGCCTCTCTGCACCTGTGGGAGCGGTTTGCAGCTGAGCTGTGTTTTCTGCCGTATGTAACGCGTTTGACATTGTTCTCAGGTCCAGTCTGATGAGTGAAGAAGCTAAGCGAGGAGCACCCAACCCTTGGCTCTTGGAGGAGCCAGAGGAGACCAGAGGCTTGGGTTTTGATGAGATTCGGCAACAGCAGCAGAAAATCATCCAAGGTACTGAACACCCCAAAGAGTGGGTTTAGAAGTAACCTTGCCAGCTTTTTGCAATAGCCTTGAATGTCCCTTAACCCCCACTGCAAATCGGAGAGAAAACTGTTGGCCTTTTTAGGCTCTTGGGATCTTCGTGCCTCAGAATACCTGAGGAATAGACGCCGGCCGTCACCCACCCCGCAGCTCAGGGAAGCAGGGATCTGTCTTCGGACATGAGCTGGTCTCATGCTGACGAGTCTGGGTGAATTTGATGTGTGTACCTATAGCTTTTTTTTCCGAACGCAAGACTCCATCTTTTTCTTCTATAAAATAAGTCAGTTTGGTTTTTACCTTCAAGTTCATCTTGCTCAGTAGCTTGTCAGCCTAATTGTTTCTTTTTCAACCTCTTCTGCTGTTCAAACTTGAGAAGCAATGCATGATTGCCATACATAGTTCAAGCCATCTAGGGCTAGGAGAGATGGCAAACCATTGCTTCTCCAGTCTCAGCCTGGGTTCAGTGGGGCCAGGCATGTTTCCTCAGATGTGGATCCATGGTGTGCATGTATTCAGTGTAACACGTGAGAAACACAGGTACCTCCTGATAGGTGTGTCATCCACACCTTTTTTTTTTTTTTAAGATTTATTTATTTGAAAGGCAGATTTAGAGGCAGAGGCAGAGAGAGCGAGAGCGAGCGAGCTTCCATCCACTGGTTTACTCCCCAGATGGCTGTGATAGCCAGAGCAGGGCCGATACAAAGCTAGGATCCAGGAGATTATTCTGGGTTTCCCACATGGGTACAGGGGCCCAAGGACTTGGGCCATCTTTTCCTGCTTTCCCAGACCTTAGAGAGCTGGATTGGAAGTGGAGCAGGGAGGATTGAACTAGCACCCATATGGGATGCCGGCACTGCAGGTGGTGGCTTTGCCTGCTATGCCACAGCACTGGCCCTCTTCCACAGCTTTTAAAAAATGTAATGTGTGGCCGGCGCCGCGGCTCACTAGGCTAATCCTCCGCCTTGCGGCGCTGGCACACCAGGTTCTAGTCTCGGTCGGGGCACCGGATTCTCTCCCGGTTGCCCCTCTTCCAGGCCAGCTCTCTGCTATGGCCAGGGAGTGTAGTGGAGGATGGCCCAAGTGCTTGGTCCCTGCACCCCATGGGAGACCAGGAGAAGCACCTGGCTCCTGCCATCGGATCAGTGCGGTGCGCCTGCTGCAGCGCACCGGCTGCGGTGGCCATTGGAGGGTGAACCAACAGCAAAAGGAAGACCTTTCTCTCTCTCTCTCTCTCTCTGCCTGTCAAAAAAAAAAAAAATGTCAGACATTTTTCATGTCAGTATATACAGGTATGACCTTTGTAATTCTACTTTTTAAAAATAGCTTTATTGAGATTGAGTTGATGCTATCATAAATAGCACACATTTGAAGTGTATGATTTGGTAAGCGTCGACACATATCCACAAACCTGCAAAACCCTCGATACAATCAGAACAAACATATTCGTCACTCCCAAAGACATCCTCCATGTCATTTTGTAATTCTTCTTGCTGCTTCTCTCATTCCTAGACAACTACTGTTCTGCTTTCTGTCACTCTAAATTAGTGTCTCTTTTCTGTAATTTTATATAAAGAGTCCTCCAGGCGCTCTCCCCAGCAGAGGAGGAGGTCTGGTTTGTTTCTCTAAGTGTATTAAGGTTCGTGTACGTGTTTCACGTGGCAGTATTTTGTTCCCTTCCGGTACACTGTGCCATGGTATGACTGTCACAGGCTGTGTTATCCAATCACCTGTTGATGGGTATCTGGGTTCTTTTCAGTTTGGGGCTGTTATACATAAAACTGCTATGAGCGTTCATGTGAAGGTCTTTGGACATCAGTTTTCATTTGTCATAGGTAAATACCTATAAACAGCATGATTGAGTCAGGCAGCAGGTGTCTGCTTACTCTTTAACATTTTGTCACTGGCAAATTGTCATTGTGCATATTTATGAGTGCACAACGTGATGTTTTGGAAAACGTATACATCACAGAAAGGGTAAATTAAGCTAACATTTGTATTACATTACATACTTATTTATTTGCGGTGAAAATGCCTAAACATTTACTCTCTGAGAAGCGTGGCTGAGATGCCGATCGGGATGCCTGCAGCCCATAGCACAGTACTTGTGTTGGATATCTGGCCCCAGCTCCTGGTTCCAGCTTCCCACTGAAGCAGACCCAGGGCAGGCGGTGGGGATGGCTCAAATAATTGTTTTTTTTTTTTTCTTTGTTAAATATTTATTTCAAAGGCAGAGCTACAGAGAGAGAGGGAGAGACAGATATCTTCTATCTGCTGGTTCACTCTCCCAAGTGGCCATAATGGCTAGGGCTGGGCCAAGATGAAAGCCAGGAGGCAGGAACTTCTTCCAGGTCTCCCATGCGGGTGCAGGGGCCTAAGCATTTGGGCCATCTTCCATTGCTTTCCCAGGTGCATTCGCAGAGAGCTGGATGGGATGAGGAGCATCCAGGACACGAACTGGTGCCCATACGGGATGCTGGCGCCACAGGCGGAGGCTTAACCTGCCACGCCACAGCGCTGGCCCCCTCTCAGCAGTTTTCAAGGGTGTTAGCCACCGTGTTGTACAACAGATCTCTTGACCAGCATTTTGTGTCCTCAAACCAACATCTCCCAAATCTGTCCATCCCACCCCCACCTCCCACCTCCCAGCTCCCAGTGAGCACCATCCTACTCTCTGCTTCTCCGAGTTTGACCTTTTGGATTCCACACCTCCGTGAGTTCACATTTGTCTTTCTGTCCCTGGCTTATTTCTCGTAACATGATGTCCTCCAGGTTCACCCACCTTGTTAAAAATAACGAGGTTTCCTTCTTTGTGAAGGCTGAGTAGTACTCCGTTGTGTCGTAGGCTGATCCTGTATCACAAGGATTCGGAGTAATGCCGCCTTGAACATAGGAGTGCAGATAGTTGACATACACGGATCTTACTTCCTTTGGTTATTGGGTATGCGCCCAGTAGTGGAGTCGCTGGATCCTATGGTAGTGCTTTTTTTAATCTTTTGCACTATTTTCCACAATAGCTTTATTAATTTACATTCCTATCAGCAGTGTACAAGGATTTCTTTCCCCACATCCTTGCCAGTGATTGCTATCTTTTGCCCTTTTCGATGAAAGGCATTCTAACAGTTCTAATAGCTCATTGTGGTTTTGATTGGCATTTCCTTGATAATTAGTGATGTTGAGCATTTTCCCATATAGTGGGCCTTTTGCACATCTTTTTGAGAAATGTCTGTTCAGGTCCTTTGACCACATTTTGATCCAGTTAATTAACTGTTGAGTTGTTTGAAGTTTTTTTTTAAGGCGGTACTTTTTTTTTTTTTAATTTATTTATTTGAAGATCAGAGTTACACAGGGAATGAGAGGCAGAGAGAGAAAGGTCTCCCATTTGCTGGTTCACTCCTCAAATGGCCTCAACAGCCTGAGCTGGGCCAATCTGAAGCCAGGAGCCAGGAGCCTCTTTGGTTCACTCCTGCAGTGGCCGCAAGGGCTGGGGCTGGACCAAGCCAAAGCCGGGAACCCGAAACTCCATCTGGGTCTCCCACGTGGGTGGCAGGAGTCCACGTCCTTGGGCCATCTTCTGCTTTTCCAGGCACCTTAGCAGGGAGCTGGATAGGAAGCGGAGCAGCCAGGACTGGATCTGGCTCTCCAGTATGGGATGCAGTGTCGTAGGTGGCAGCCTAGCTCACTGTGCCACAGTGCCAGCCCCTACACTGCCAAACCAATTTCAAAAGCAACTGCACCATGTTACATCCCCAGCAGGAGCATATAAGGGTTCTGGCTGTTTTTCATCCTCACCAAAACAGTAGGTGTGCAGGTGTTATCTCACTGTGATGCTGGTAGCCGGCGCTCTCATCACTACTGGCTCTGCCTGTGCCTGTTTGCCATCTCTGTCTTCATTAGTTAAGTGTCTGCTCAGATGGTTTACCCGTTTTCAACTAGGTTGTCTGTTAACATGCAAGAATTTTTAAAAATATAGCTTTGCATATGTTATGAGTCAGGTGCGTGTTTCCCCTACCTTATGTCTTACTTTACCTTCTTTATCCTCTTGACCGTGTCTTCCACAGACGGGCTCCTAAGTTTTATAAAGTTCTTGTGTGGTTTGTGTTTTTGGTTGTAGATAGGAAATCACTGGCCAGCCTGAAGCAACAAAATGTGCTGCTTTGTTTATTTCTAGAAATTTTGTGGTTTTAGGTTTTTCACATTAGATCTGTGATCTACTTTGAATTTATTTTTTTGTATCATGAGATAGGGATAGAAGTTCAGTGTTTTGGTTTTGCCTATGGATATCTGATCTAGCACCATTTTTTTTAAGAAGGCCATCCTTTCTCTACTAAATTGCTCTACTTTTGTCAGAAAAACCAATGGACCATGTATATATTGGCCTAATTTTGGACTCCTTTCTTTTTTATTTTCCTATTTGTTTTGATTATTGTACCTTTATGACAGTTTCCTTTTTTTTTTTTTTTGAAATACACTTAAGAATTTATTTGAGAGGTAGAGTTACAAAGGAAAAGGTCTTCTATCTGCTGGTTCACTCCCTAAATGGCTGCAGCAGCTGGAGCTGAGCAGATAGGAAGCCAGGAGCTTCTTCCAGGTCTCCCACACAGGTGCAGGGGCCCAAGGACTTGGGCCATCTACTACTGCTTTCCCAGGCCATAGCAGAGAGCTAGATTTGAAGAGGAGCAGCTGGGACACAAACCAGTGCCCATATGGGATGCCGGCGGAGGCTTAGCCAATTATACCACAGTGCTGGCCCCTATCTTAAATATTTTTAAGTACTTGAAGGGGGGGCGGGTAGAGATACTAAGATTTTCCATCTGCTGGTTTATTCCCCAAATAGTTAAAATGGCCAGAGTTAGGCCAGCTAAAGCCAGGAGCCAGGTCTCCCATGTGGGTGGCAGGGACCCAAGCGCTTGAGGCATCATCATCTGGCTCCCGGGATGCATTAGCAGGAAGCTGGATGAGAAGTGTAGGAG